CTGTCAGAAGAGCATGACGTCCCTATGAGAGAACACATCACTGAGCAGCAAAGACATTTCAAACTTTAACATTTTCTAGATTAAAAGCAGCAGACTGCAACGGCCAATCAGAAGACGACACTGGTCTGAACCCAGCTGATCTCTAAGAGCCTCTAAGACAGAGTCAGCGCTGATATCCAGTTATCATTTATTAATAAGGCAGTGTTGATAAATGATGACAGCTGATGAAATATCAGTTTAGTTAAACTAAACTTAACGTTCTTCTTGTGTTATGTCCGTACGTGAGTTGTGTTATTATGGTCTTAGAATCTGAATCCACTTAGTTTGCTCTGTTATCATCTCAGTCTTCAGTTTCCTTCTGCAAAGATCGAATTTCCATCATCATCATCATAAATGTATAGTTTAGATTCATTCAGTTTTAGTTCAAGTTAACCTAACTTTAATAAATTCATCTTGAATCAGTTTAATTAATCTCATCTCAACTCAAGTTAGCTTGACTCATGTTAACTAAATTCAACTCCACTTAAGTTAACTTTGTTAAGTTAACTTTGTTAAGTTAATTTAACACAAGTTCACTCATGTTAACTAAATTTGACTCCAATTAACTTAGCAAAGTTAAGTTAACTTTGCTCAAGTTAACTCATCTAAACTCAGGTTAACTTAACTAAACTCAGGTTAACTTAACTAAACTCAGGTTAACTTGACTACACATAACTAAACTCTGCCTTTTTTCATAACTTCCCCTGTTTTGTAATTTGTCATATTTCAGTAATAAATCTCACTGTTTTCTGATCTGTTAATACACCGTTTGTTGTAAATTCATTGAAGCAATACAAATGTATATATTAATGATAAAAGTATAGAATTTGTGATTTAGTTGTTTTGTATTTTTACAGTTAGACCTGGCCGCCATATTTAATTTAAGATATTTCTGCAAACTAAACAAAAAGAGGAAAAGAGGATCTTACCACGATCTCCATCCCTCCGTCTACAGGAACGTAGATCACTTTGTAGCCCTGAACGTTGCCATCAGCAGGATTCCAGGTGACGGTGAGCGTGGTGATGGTCGGGCTGGTCACCTTCATGTTGCCCACTCCGCCCAAAGGCACTGGGAGCGGGAAAATGATTGTTATTAAATGATTGTTATAATCCAAATATATTTTACTTTTAAAAAACTGACAGAATAAAGAGTAACTTACGTGTCTTTCCGTTCTCCGCCTGCCGTCTTCCCTCCCTGGCTGGGTAGACCGGTAACACCGACACCGTGTACGGCGTGTCGGGCATCAGGTTCCTGAGGATGATGTTGGTGGTGCCTGCAGGAACTTGTTCCTGTTTACAGAGACGACAACATAAAGTCCTTCAGATGGTTGGCCTTCCGTGTCGGGCTTTAGTTCTCAGAGGTGTTTAAAAGAGTCTCACCATCTCCTCTCGGCCACCAGCAGCCGGCACAAAGAAGACCTTGTACAGGCGAACGGCTCCGTCAGCCGGGTCCCAGTTCACAGTCAGAGAGGTCATGGTGGGGTCCGTCACCCGCAGGTTCTTCACTCCTCCCAGTGGCCCTGAACAAGGAGACAGGTCAGGTTAGTCATGAGGTTTTAAGAGAGTATTTTAACATTGTGAGATGAAACCAATCTGCTTTTATCATGACTGCATCATGTTTGAGGTGACAGAGTTACTGAGTCAGGGAGGAAGTAAAACGACTAGTGACCATAACACACTAAATCAATTGTTACGGTCACTACAGTCCAGTAAACTTAACTTAACACAAGTTAACTTAACTCAGCTCAGCTCAGGTTAACTTGATTTAAGTTAACCTGACTAAACTCAGGTTAGCTAGGCTCCAGTAAACTGAAAACATGGATTTTAAATCTATCTTTTAATCAGAATAAAGACTTTTTTTGGTATGTTGACATTCTGTGTTTCTTTATTTGTATGGACGACCTAATCATTTCTTGTCCGATGCTGCATCTGAAGGGACTTTACTAAACTGGTAGAACTTTAGCGTAGCTTAGTGTTCGGTCTTACTCGTCTTTCCGTTCTCAGACATCGTCTTTCCGTCCCCGACAGCGTAAACCGGCACCAGAGAGACGCTGTAGAGGGTGTCGGGCTGCAAGCCTCTCAGGATGGTGTTGGTTGTTCCTGCAGACACTGTTTCCTGAGATCAACAACAAAATCACAAAAATTAGCTGCTTCCAAACCCAGACAGAGCAACGAGCATGCAACTAGAAGTAACGATGGAAGGTTAGTGTTTAGAATAGCAGCATAAGCAGCTTTCAGTATGCCTTTGAGCAGTGCAGTTGTGGTGGGCTAGCCTGAGGACGGTTTGACTTTAGCCAAATGAAAACTGCTGAATACCGTGGGTTCGGGTTCAACACCGACAGGAAGTCGTCCTATTGTCCTACCGTGCTCTCGGCTCCTCCAGTGGCGGGAACATAAAGGACTTTGTACTCCTTCACTCGGCCCTCGGCGGGCTCCCAGCGCACGTTCAGCGTGGTCATGGTGGGGTTCAACACCTGCAGGTTCCTCACTCCGCCCAGAGGCTCTGAAAGAGCAGGAACACAGGTGTGTCATCAGCAAAGAGTCGGTTTATTTACTGCGTTTACTGAACTGAAGTGCTGCTACTTCACTTCAACACATCTATTTTGGCAGATTCTCTCTTGTAGGGCTCAGCAATGTATGGATATTATATAGACATCATGATATGACACAAGATACCGGCTAGATATTTATTTTCCTGGTTTTATAGGCTGCACAACAGGAGAGTGATGTCATTTTATGAACATCACATAAACAGACCGTTCTAGCTGTTTTATTAGATGAGTCATTATATCCACATTACTGATGGTTATTCATCAACAATCTCATTGTGCAAATATTTTGTGAAAGCAACATCGGTCACCTCTACAATATAATCGCAATAGCAATATCGAGGTAGTTGCTCAAACATATTGTGATATTAGGTAAAAATAAAGCAAAAATAATAATGACTTTTGCTCATGTGGTCGATAGGAAAGGTTTGAATTTCTAGCAAAAATATAAAGCAGCGACTGCAGCACAGTGAGAACTGCATTCTTTCTGACGTCCATCTCTTACTGGTTTGTCCTTCCCCGCTGATGTCTCTGCTGACCCCGGTGGGGTACACGGCGGCCACGGTGACGGAGTATTTGGTGTCGGCCTCCAGCTTCTGCAGGATGACGCTGGTCTTCTTCCCTCCGACCTGCATCTGTTCACAGGAAACACGTCAGAATCATTTTCTCTCTACAGACTCGTCTCTGGCAATGCGTGATGTCACAGCACTGACATGTCGGAAGTCAACAGAAACTAAAGAAGTTACAAAAGATCAAATAAAAGCTGTAAATACAAACATGAAATCATCATTTAGCAGGATTAGTTCATTTAAGGCTGTTCCTTCCTCTAGTGTTCAACATCATAACATTTGACTTTTTTTAATTCTAATATAATAAAATAATATATGTTACGCTGCATCCGAGTACTTTTAGTTTAGTACTTTATACTGTTATAGTGTTTGAAAGGGTTCATTTAGTTTCACAAAAGTCACCAAATAACACAAACACAGTAACAGTGAATGGAGTCTGGTGTCTTTGTAGAGAGCAGATGTTCTCCTGTCTGGTTCTATAATCATCTCCTGCAGTAGAACCTCACACAAACACACTTCTAAACATCAGAACTTTCCCTTTAATGTTCTGTAATCACTTATTCCTGCTGTCATCGCTCAGTCTTCCAGAAACTAAACTAAAACTCTAAAATGCACAAAAGCTCTGTGTGTCGTGTTCTGCAGAGCGATCTTCCGTTTCTGAGGACAAGATGTCAGCAAACTATTTACATGGTTGAAACATAAGTAAGTCAAATATTTCTCTCACAGGGAATCCACGTAGGCCTTTGGGGAAAACCCTGAGCAAACAACTGAGATGTGAGTCTGTAAACACATTCCTGGAGGCAGTAAACAGCTTCCCAGAGATAAACGAGAGGCCGTGACATCACCTTTACATCAGTATTACAGGTATGTAGTTGAATGTTTGATCTCTTGGACATTTTGTTTACAGGATGATCTTTTTAATCATGAGGTAACTGAGCTGCTTCATGACACTCAATTCATCACAGACGTCATATCATCACACATGTGTTACTGTAAATAAAGGAATTTGTCTATTTATTCTTAATTTATTCTATAACAAAAAAAATAAAAAAAACAGGCCAAACTTTCCTCATCCCGTTGGATCCGACTGAAGACAGCTGAACACAAATACATCCTCCTAAAACAGCTGCTCGCTGTACTTTTGAATTAAACAAAAATTATTGGGGACTATTTTCTGCGGCGGATGAGTCCACGTCTGGTGCTCTAGTGAGTATTCGTCAGTAAACTACAGAGTGCGTGTACAGTGAGGCTCATTGATGTGTTTTAATGGCGTAGAAGAAGAATTTTGTCCACCAAAGAGTTTGTCTGTCCGTCAGCAGGTTAACAGAAAAATTACCGGCTCCACTTCCATGAGACTTGGTGGAGGAGTGAAGCATGGGACGAGGAAGAAACCATTAACAATGGGAGGGGATCTGCATCACTGGGCGGATACAGACATCATTCTTCACTTGGCGGAGGTCTGAGCTCTCTGAGTGCTCTTCTAGTTCTTCATATTTTCATCTCTGTGGGTGTCCAATCTGATTCATTCCACAGAGAGCTACAGGAAGACCACCTCGGTCCACAGCTATCCTTCTTCTCCACAGAAGTGGACCTTCAGAACAGTAGTTTTCCATGATATTTATTTAGCTTTTGGGAGCAGGGAGGAAACCCTGAGCTCATCCGGCACAAACAAACAAACCCGTCTGGCTTCACATGACTGTAGTCATAAAGAAAAGCCCGGAGATGACGACCCGACCCCGGATGCTCTCGGTCTTCTGGTGTACATACATCTGAGGGATTCACAGACCCATCAGACGTGACACTCTTCCCCTCCAACACGTTGTTTGGGTGAAACGCTGTCATAACATCTCAAGAGAGACAAGAAGAGATTTGTAACTCCTTGAAATTCTTTCTCATGCAGCCCCCACAGTTTTTCCTTTCAACTCGTTTCCTGAGCTTAATCGCCGGCGAGTCATCGTGCAGGAATGCGAGCTGCCGCACAGTCGCTGTCTGAGAGCGTCAGAATATGACGGAGAATCTGAACTCCTTCAGGACGTCTTTGTGCATCTCGAGAGTTCACATTTTAACTCCAACTCGTTCTGTAAACACAATGTTTTTGGTGAAGTCTGTTCTGTGATTTATTGAATGTTTTTAGTCAAACGTCTGAACTCGATGACGACGATCACATTTTCTTTTCAAGGACAATGCGTGTTTAGCTTTAAATATAACGGAGTCCATTTCTTCTTGAGACTCTACTGATACTTTACTTCCATCTTTACATTTTGGGAGACTTTCTACATTTAATCCGTTGTGTCTCAGAGGAAACACTCTACATTTCTTTCTCAACCACGTTTATCCAACAGTCGGACAATTCTTAAAACACAACTTTTGTAAAAGAAGTTAAAAGGTCTATTTGTTGTCTATTTGGGTCAAATGAAAAAGTATTTTGCAGATGTGCAGGTGTCAGCCATGCAATATAAAAGCTTTTATTTGTTTAATTAAATTCAGAACTCAGAGCACGTAGGAATGTTCTTTCTGCTTTACATTGTTGTGGCCTTTAACTCCAAAAAGCACCTTTGTTTGCTGACTTTAGATGTGATGGAGTTGACTTTTTCTGGTAAAGGACTTTATCTTTATCTTTCTTCCACCTCTGCTGTCCTGTGTGCTGAATACACACTAGTGTTTATTCAACTTTTTGTTTTGAACATTCCTACCTTCAAATGATCTATTTTATAAAACCACAAGAGGATGACGCAGTGTTTGCCTTTTAATCCTTTCAGCTTCTTTTCCTGCAGTTTCATGTCTTTTCTGAAGAGCCAGAGGAGACTTCAAACAGTTTACGCATAATAGATGTGTTTCTATATGTGCGCTGGGACTCGTATTACAAACTCTTCTGACAGATTTAAAGCTCCCCATCACATTGATGTATCCATCAGTCTGTTGGAGATGTTCCCAGCACCACCGCACCCCGAATAGAGTCGAACACAACCTCAGATTTTAGGAGCGTATGAGGAAAATCCACCCTAAAAAGGAATTCAGTCGTATTGTTCCTCTAATCCTGTACAAACACATGATACAGTGATAACGTGTTGATGGGAGAGAAACACGTTTTATAAAAGAGTCCTTGAGCTGAAGGCTGTGAAAAGTTAGATAAACATTTGAGAAATCTCAGCAGTCGCTCGATTGTTCACCGTCAGTGGAGCAGCTCCAATTTAGTCTCTGGATACAACGAAGAGCCAAGTGATCATATGTGTGTGTGTTTAGGAAGACAGTATTTTATGTGAGCTCTGTTATAATATATATAATTAGATTTTAGATTTCAGAAGACTCTGGTCAAACTGAAATTAGAAATTATTGAGTCATAAAATACATAAAGTAAATTATTTTTAGTTTAATTGTTAAAAAAGTTATTTCACTCTCTTCTATTTTCTGAATTTCACTTCATTTTTTGTTTTATTTGTATTGAGCAAAATAAAATTAAGCATAAAGTATTTTATGTTGTCTGCCTTTTTCCATATTATTCATAATATAATATTATTATATCATATTAATGTACATTCACAGATGATATAAAAGATGTAGGATTATATTTTGAGGTTGTGACAGTACCAAAAATAAGCAAATTAAAAAGAGAAAGGAACATTATTCAAAAAATAAATATTTAAATTTAATTAAAAAGAAAAAAAATTAAATAAAATAGAAAAGTTGACAAAAATAAAATAAATGTGTATATACTAAATAAAATAAAAATAAAATAAATCTCAATCTAATAGAAACATAAGGCAGTGTGGGAACATTGATCTTCCCCTAGTCTTCTTTATATTCTTAAAACTTTCCTGTTTCTTGAGGTCTTTTTAATATTGTTTTAAATGCATTTCTATTCCTCACACGAAGCACTTTTAACTGCCTTAGTGTTTGAAAGGTGCTTTATGAAAATATACAAAAAACACGATTTTTCTCTTCCTGTTTTTCTCCCCAAATTTTGATTTCTAAAGTCAAATGTTTCTACATATGCTGATGACAGCGCTGTGTTTACGTCCCAAAAAAAGATACTGTAAAATGAGCAGTGAACTCACTGTGAGAGGCTCGCCTCCAGCGACGGGCTTGTAGGTGATCTTGTAGTTCTGGACGGCGCCGGGGGCGGCGTCCCACTTCACCGTCAGCGCCGATGTGGTGGCGTTGAAAACCCTCAAGTTCCGAGGAGGCTGAGCCGGCACTGAGGGCACACGGATAGTTCCAGTGAGATAAACAGAAAGATCAGCGATGGATTAGCGATGGTGATGGAGATGATGATGATGGTGGTGGTGGGGGTGAGGATGAAGATGGCAGTGATGGTGATGCTCCAACAATCTTGCAGGTCACAAAAAGCTAGAAAAGGTTATTTTTAGGATGGAAGCAGCAAAACAGAAGAAGCAGCGTGAAGCTTGAGGTCAGCAACTTTTCATTCAACTCATTCATCTCAACATCAATAGATATTAACAGCTCTTCTTCCTCGTTACAGTTAGAGCCGAATATGCTTTCAAATTAAAAACTGACCCATCAATATTTGGGATGTACGGGTAACAACCAACCAACCAACATATTTTGAAAGGTTGATTAGTTTGTTTTTTTAAGTCGCAGTGTCTCGATAACAAAATCTACTTGTTGAATTAAAAGTTCACTCAGCCTCAACCCAACAGCAGAAACACTGTACAACAATGCAACAACATGCAACATCATTAACGTGATGACCGAGGTGAACTCTGATGAAGGATGACGTGATGACATGACTGTGACAACAGAAATGTTAAAGATGACAAGATGGTGACGGACGGGGAACAGAAACAAAAGGACTGATGGTGGAATTAGAACAATCGTTCACATGGATGGATGGAGGTCTGGGGAGGACGACACGTTACACATCTACTTTCACACTGTTTGCATTTAAAGCTCTGAGTCTACGTTCACACCACATTCTACTGCAACGTCTACCGGGAGCTAAATCTGGGAAAAATAATCAGTAAACGTTGATTTTTATCATCTTAGTTTACGCAACAAGATGGAAACAGAGAACCTTAATGTTCAGAGTTCAGATACAAATGTTGTGCCTCAAACACTTTAGTTTTAAAACCTTCTATGCAACATGTAAAACATTAAATACAAATTTCAGTTACATGGCTGTAGTAGCTAGCTAACAAACTAGCGCTGCCTATAATTGTCATTTTAGGAAGCTGTTGCATCATCATGTATCGATATAGGCTACCATTTAATAATGAATGCAGTTATTGTAAAAACGTTCCCCTAAACAAAATAACCTATACAATTATTAATTTCAATAAAATGATGGTAAGTTATGACACAGTCAGTAAGTAATAATTCACAACAATGTGTCCTGATGTAACAAAATAATAATATAAGTGGCAAGTCCGGTCCTCCACCAAGTCTCTATTTTCTACATCAGGACACTTCAGAGTGCATTACTATGTTTATTAAATGATACAAAAAACTCAACTAAACATGGTCAGGTATTATTCAGCGAAGCCTACAGTAATCAACAAACGCTTATCGACCGAGTTGCTTGTGGTGTGAACACACAGAGAACCACTGAAATGCACAAAACATGCAGTTAAGAAAGGAAAGAGTGCACTTCCGTTAACGCCGTCCCTTGTGGTCTGCGTTACCGTTCAACACAAAATCATGGACATTACAATGAAAAGGAACCTGTCCTTCTCTGTTGACATACCATCCGGAGCCTTCAACACTACAGAGAGACGTCGAGAAAACAACATTATTATTATTATTTCAAAGTGAGTAACATCTGTGAATGGTCGTTTTTAGGGAGCTTGTAGGGTGACGTGGGTGCTTACACGTGCGCTCGCTTCCCATCAGGTCCTCGCTCTCCGACTCGTCGGGGTAGATGGCCGTGACGGTGACGAAGTATTCGGTGTCCGGGTCCAAGTCTGGCAGGACGTGGGAGATGTTGTCGTTGTTCTTAATGGCCTGGTGACAGACACAGAGCAAGAAGAAGACAGTTAACAGTGTTTTACGTTATATTACTACGACAGGTCTATGCAACATTCATAAACTGGAGGAGCCGGGGATCGAAACGCCGATCCTCTTGATGTAAGGACGACCCGCTCCACCTCTGAGCCCTTGATTGAAATTCTTGACTGCTGAACAAAGACAACAAGAGTTTTAAAAAATCTTATCCTGCACTGCGTTTCATTTAAACTCGACCTCTGAGACTTGAAGCTTCTTAGCAGCATTTCCATCGGCCAATAAAGAAAATCTGGAGTTCGTGAAGTAAGACTGTAATAAACAACCTGGTGTGGATTTTATTCACACATATTTGTGCTGAAGCGTGTGTCGGCTGGGGCGGCAAAACGTGTCCAAAATATAACATGAGGAAAACAAAGAGAGCATTATTGTTGCTTCAACTGAACTGTTTTTTTCCCCTTAAATCTTGGCGAAAGTGGTTTTGTGAGGCGTGTCCGTTTAAGTGATCCGTGAAACCACAATGCATCATTCCTATGATCTTCTTCTTGTACTTGAGCAAATCTTTCTTGACAGTTCTACTGTACGACTGTTTCATTTAAACCAAACCAGGTTTCATAATCGTCTACATGAGTGCTGGTCGGTTTGAATCTGGACTAGTTCAGGAAGGTGGACCTGCAGGTGAGTTTGAGTGCTCTTAACCTGAACTCAGCTACAGTTTTTGAATCAGAGGAATGACACACTGTGAGAAAACCTTCACCGTTTGTTGATTTAACTCAAAGCAGATGTTTGGTGTCGATGCAGACGGACGAAGCTGTCCAAGCAAAGCTCGTTTGCATATTTCTAGAGAAAGAACTTGGCCAGAGTGTTGATCCAGCTGCTGGAGATGCTGCTTTTTTTTTTTTTTTTTTTTACAACAAAGACAAAAGTAAAAGGGGACAAAACAAATACAATCTGCATACAAGTCAAGACCGCCATGCGTCTTAGAAACATTTGGTAAACTTGTCTTTGTCAACCTCAGTTTCCTCTTAAGTCTCTTTCACTTTATTTCAATAGTTTTTGGTAAATTACTGGGAAAACCGAGATTCAGGAACTTTTCCGTCTTGCACCTTTTCACACATGCCTTTGAATAGATGACACTTCTGGACACCAATCGCTATAAAACGCAACAAAAAAAGAAGAAGATGAAGAAGATGGAGCAAAGGCTGGACGACGGCAGACAACGTCTCTTATTATTTTCAGGAACATGATGTATGAGGAGATGTTTTTGTCCGGTGCATCTTGAAAAAAGGAGCTTGTTTGCAAACAGAAAGCTTGTGTTGCTTGTTGGTTATTAAGTCTTCAGTGAAAGCATTGGCGTAAATTGTAAACGGCAAAAAAGTAGCAGATTTAAATACACCGTCAGCGGAGTCTTATGATCGGTTCGCTCGCAACTCAGCCGTCCAGAATTTCCCCTGAAATGTTACGAGATCTTGAGGTTTGGAAACTGGCAATACAGAATTCCCTGAATATCGATTCCTGCTCCCTTTCCAGGGACAGTATGCATGTGGGAAAAGGGACTTTAGAAATCCCTTTAAGAGGATCCGCCTGCGGTTCTAATGCGTGAGGGTTTACAACATCTAAAGAAGTTTCATCCACTGATGAGTTGACGAGTTGAGGCTGAAACATGCTTCTCAGGACTGTATAAATGGGAACGAAGACATCGGCCAATCAGAGACTCTTACGAGTTAATAATACTGTGTTGTTGACGTGCATCTTTGCACAAACATAATTCCAGCTTTAGAGGTTGAAGGGTTTAGTTCAACGCTCCTTAAGAACTTAAGCACTTCCTGTAACTGTTTGTAACTTTTTAAATGCATCACAAATCATTAAGCACATTTTATTATACACTGACTTAAACCTTTAGGAGAAGATATCACGGAAACAACAACAAACTTTGACTTCTTGCCATAATCACGTGTTAATGATTGAAAAGGAACACGTGATGATATGTTGCTGGAAAATCCAAACTGAAAGACGAAGAATAAGCAAACGGCATTGAAGAAGCAGTTTGTCTAGACTTACAAACAGAGCATCCTGCTCCCCCTTCTTGGTCCAGCTGATGCGGTAGAGGGCCACGTCCGGGGCCCCGTGCTGCCATGTGGCCCTGAACGAGGTCTGGGTCACCTCAGAGAACTGCAGGTTCTTGGGAGCAGGAACGACATCTGGTCACACGGAAAGAAACAAGGTTACAAGAGTGTATACCAATTATATGCAGGTGTGTTGTGTTTCGATTTGTGTGTGTGTGTGTGTGTGGTCTTGTTTTGCTATCTTTGGGAGGACCACCTTTTAGACCTGGACAAGTTTTGAGTATTTTCTCACTCATCACATCAGTCCCATTTTGACCAAGTTTCAATGTAATTGCTCGTTAAACTTTTTGAGAGAAAAAATACACTTGTATTAACAATCCACAGACTTCCCTGTCAACAGTTTTACTGGAATATATTCCTACTGTATGCAAAATAAAAAGTCAACTTCAACATGTGGACATTTTCACAAGAGAGGAGAACCCTGTAGCAATGAAATAATTTCGTGAAAATCGCCCCCAAAACTTGATTGAAAATGCAACAGTAACAATGAAAAAACAACAATAATGTCAGCCCTGACTGGTATTGTAATAACATTTTTACTGATGATGTAATAGCTTTCAGGTGGGTTTAATTAACTATTAGTTTAAAGTAACAATAATAATTTTGACGGATAATGAAAAAAATAAAGAGTGCAAGTATACAAACATTACTGTTGGTGTCATGTACTGAAAACACAATATTTGACACTGATTTCATGTTTGGACACTCAAGGCTTTCATGTAGAAACTAAAATCCCCAGCAATGGGAGATAAACCCGCCCACATCCATTCTGATTGAGATTGTCCATTAAACGAAATAAAGTTATCATTCATTTATCACTAAAAAATGTTGTTAAAATATCAGTCAGGGCATTTTATTACATTATTGGGTTTCATTACATGTAGATGAGGTTAATTTAATCACATTTGTATTACATTTTCAGGATATTATCACGTCATTGGGTGCTACAAACTCTGACAGGGAGCCATTATGCAAGGCACTGAACCAGAGAACCAAAGAACACGGTGGTGCAACTCTGATGTTTGAATGTGTAAGAGGGAAGTTGCTCAACATTTTAAAAAGCTGTAATAAAAATCAATAAGAATACGAGAGTGAAAAGCAGATCCAGACCTGTGATGGCGGTTCCAAGCATCGGGGCTCCGGGTCCCTCGTCGTAGATCGGGGTGACGGCCACGTCGTACTCGGTCTGGGAGATGAGGCTGGACAGGTCCATGGTGGTGATGTCGCCATTGACTTCGCCCTGCCGGTCACAAATGTTATATAATACAAACTGAGCTCTGTGACTAAGGCTGCTCGATCCTCCAAAGTTCTTATTCTAGACATCAAAAATGTTCTTAAAGTGCATTGAAACACACACAGTGGCCGCCAGAATTCAGATTCATGACCACCGCGCTATTTAAAAAAATATTTCTCATGTTTTTTATAGTGCCACATATCAGTGAAATAAGATTTTACAGGATAACACAGTTTAAATGTGCATTTTTCTTCCAAAATTGCACAAATGTGTCAGAAATGTTGGTCAATTTCTCAATCAGGTCAAACATTACAATAAATTATCAAACTAATTAAAGTAAATCTTGTTTCTATTGTTTGAATAATGTGGTATTAAACCATGGGCCCAGTTCTGATTGGCTGGCAGGTGTGATTAATCTCTAGTAACAGCAGAGTACAACCAGACACCTACGATGTCTGAAATAAGGCAACTTTCTCCCCTCTTAGTGTTTCCTTTTCTGTAAATGAAGCCTTCATTTACCCGGTGAGGGTCATAGGGAACCAATCTGAATGCCCATAACTGTCTTTATTCTTTAGCCAATACATTGTGCAATCAACAGTTACTTCACAACGGCAAGTTAAAGCAAAACACTTGACTGTTGCCACTTTAAAGCAACGAGGCTTAGCTGAAGAGCTCGGAACTAGGGTTATTATTGTAACCAATAAAAAGGCCAGAACAATTTGCACAAATCTAAATATGAACCAGGGAGATTCCTCCTCATGCTATGTGACGCTACCTGATTTCAAAACGTTTTCCTTCCTGGATGACATGTCGGCTGATGTGATATGATCAAAAGCTCCGGGAGAGCTACTAAATGGACCTTGAGGTGAATCTTTTTTTGGTTGTTTTTTTTTTACCAAGAATTGCGTTTTGTGCTGCTTCTTTATGAGCTAGATCTTGCTTGGCTAAAGTAACATAGGAATTTTGAGGTATAGAAACTGAAATCAATGATATTTTAAACAGAAAAGCAAAAGAAAAATATGTTAATTATGTGTTTTTATTTGTTATAAATCAGCAGCTCTGCTGAAGTTATTATGTGGAAGCTTTTTTTTATGGTTTTTTTATGGAGGAGGAGTGCGCTCCTCTGCCAGCAGACTGCTCTTCTCATAAAGATCGGCCAACAGAGTGAAGCTGCTGCTGATGACTTCCTGGTTTCTTTCCCAGAACGAAGGTATCGACACTAAAGCTTCGGGCTCGCCGAGGTTTTATTGTTGAACTTACAAACATTTTTCAAACAAGTATTGCAGCGACTGATACCTGGCAATATCCTATACATTTAAACTGATCTAGATTTTATAGACGGGATTAATGAAGATGTTCCTGCATGTCTACGAAACTCTCCTAACTCTAGAAAATGTGATGCCAGAATGGAGCCTGTGAAATGTTTAAAGTTCCCCTTCTGGCATTGATTAAACCACAGAAAAACACATATATTTGGAAGTTTAAAAGGGCTTTTGGATGTAAGTCGACACCGTTGGCTGAATTAGCATGGGTCTATCAATGAATATGCAAATTAGGCCGACTGAAGGTGAAACGTAGCGTTTGACCGACGTGTTGGCTCGTGTGCGCCGTGATAAATGGATGGAGCAGCGTCAGGCTTCATAAAAGTTTTTGTGGGAGTAAAAACATCTGTTTCTCTGGAACATTTTTTTTCAAACCAGCGCTCTGGAAAAACGACAACCGCAAACTTGAGTCTTCTCTTGCAGTTTGCCGTCAGTTCGACGCACGAAGACCCTCTTTTTCGGCTTTTCCTAAACCTAACCAACTGGTTTTGTTGCCCGAACCTAACTTCCTGTGAAGTTTATTTTGAAAGGACACCATGCATGTAACGAGTGTACTCTCTGTCCTGACAGTATTCCACGTTTTGCCGTAGCGCTCTGCTAATGATATGCAAAGCCCCTCCCCCCAAAGTTGACGGGATTGGTTCCTCAGGTATGTGACGTGTGAAACCCTGTCATTGAACCTTGCAGTTCTACTAAATGCTCAGACATGGTGGTGACTTCCCTGAGGATGTAGTGTGTAGCACATAAACAGGTTAAAAACTAGATTTTTCATTGGAGGGGGGGGGGGGTTTGACTGATGTATTTAATGGTTACTCTCCAATTTATCTGCAACTGACTAATGCATTTATGATTTCTAAATGTGGGAAATAGTCCAAAAACCAAAATCATGTTCCGTTTAAACTGATAGAAAACAGAAGAAGCAGCAAAAGTCCTCATATTTAGGAAGCTGAAACCAGAGAGTATTTGGTGTTCTGTCAACTGAATAATGACTTGACTAAGTATTTCTCACTGCTGCACTTTAAAAGCTCAATTGAAAGGTGAACAGTTTTTAACTTTGAACCTTTAACCTGTTGTGTTCAGATAAACCGCTGGGCTTCTTACCTCCTTCAGGTCTCCTTCATCTGGCTTGTAGGTGATCATGTACTTGCGGACGGCTCCGGGAGCGGCGTCCCACCTGAGCCTCATGGTGCTGTGAGTGACGTCGGTGATCCTCAGGACTCCGGCAGGAAGAACAGGCACTGAGGGAGGACAAGGTGACAATGGACATCCAGTCAAATAAGACAACAAACAAGCGTGACGACGTTTTACGACCCCAGTTTGTGAACATGTTTAAAAGATGCCGACTGACTTCAGAACTTACTGAAGTAGCTCGTTATTTATAAAACGCATCTGTTGTCGATCCAAAATAAAAGCTCCAGGATGTGATCCAGCTGTTATAAAACAACTGCTACATTCTGTGGAACTTCTGATCTTCTCCAATAAACATGTTAAAGCATCTTGCACACATAATGCAGGGAATATAAGATTGGTGAAAAGACGTTTTTTTTAAATACTTTTTAACATTCTTTAATAATTACACAGGGACCAGGTCTAGTTTCAGTTCTGGGGACATTTTACGGACAAACAGGAGCTGGTCAGGTGATAGAACCTTCTGAGGAAACTGAGCTCCTACAATAACAGGACATTTTGAATTGTTGTTTAAAGCATAGCTGAGTCTTAAATCTTCTAATCTCTCTTCTTTTTCTTGTAGGTAGGTGTTTGTTGCTCTAACTAATAAGTCGTGAGTGACGTATCCGTCAACGTCTTTTCCCATTGGACCCAGAAGCTGCAGTTACCTCATCGTTCACAAAGGTCGAAGAAGTATGTCGATGTACGAGTTGCTATTTCTTTAAGTCGTCTTCTAACTCCCAGCACACGTGTGGTGATCTCCTCTGAGCTTCTCAATGTTTTCCTGTTGCTATTTCTCATTGCTTGTGTCTGGATTGTAACCTTCGATCTGTGAAACTCTAGGCGAGACGGTTGAGGAAAAATGGCGTAACCTTTCCTACGAGGTTCTGCTTAGTCGACTGTTTCTCCAACCAAGGAAGTGTTTGAATTGCTGAAGTTGTGGGTGACGTTCAGGGACTATATTTAAAGCTTAAGATCAGAGACGTTGAGAATTTATAACAAGAAGCACTGTAGCTGCTCTGGAGGGTTGTGCTGGAACAATATCTGAGGAAGGATTATGCTGCTGAGTGATTTATATGGAGTGTAAATGGGCATTTTGATTATTTTTCCACCATGAAAACTTGTTGCTTCTATTTCAAACTGAGCTTCAGTCTGACGTTACTTTCCCGGTAAAACTGTGGCTCTTCTGCTTCGACAGCGTCGGATTATTTCTGAGCTAAAGACTCATTATTTAAACATGACTTACGGGTGACTCCTCTTCCCTCCTTTGGCTCGCTGACAGCTTCACCATACAGCGCATAAAGAGAGATGGAGTACTGTGTGTTGGGGATCAGCTGCACCAGCTGGACGTCAGATACATCTCCTCCAACACGAACCTGCAGAGGGACACACGGAAACAGCTGGTGAACATGCTGGACTGATAGAGCACACTGTAATGCTCCACACCGGTGTTTCTGCACGTTCTACACTCATTCATTACTTATTATTCGTATCATGAGCGCAACAGTTACAGAGACACAGTCGTTGGCAGTGAAAATCATTTTGATTCGAACTTCAGCTGCATATTTTCCAGTAAAGACCAAAGACTGTATAAGAAGTGGACGCAGTCATGGTGAAGTCATTGGTTTGTGGACCGATGTTTTAAAGCCTCCAGTTCAGCGATTTGGCCGTCGCCATGTTGTTTTTTTCACAATCAATAAACAGGAAGTGACCATATCTGGACTGAGGAGGAGTGACGTAGAGACACCGTATACGTCTCTGGTCAATCACCGTGTAGCCCCGCCCTAAAGCATCTCCTGCTTTATGGTCTGTGTGACTCTAAATGGACCATAATGTACTAAATGAACATCATGCTGTATTGAAGAAGACTTGAAACTAGAGATTGAGACCATAAACTCATGTTTACAATGTTTACTGAGGTAATAAATCAAGAGAGAAGTAGAGTCATTTTCTCATAGACTTCTATACAACCAGAGGAGTCGCCCCCTGGTGGTCAGGAGAGTGAATGCAGCTTTAACTCACGAAGCATCGGCTTCACTCGGTCTGCGTTACTTTACCTCGTTCTCCAGCTGAGGCTCGGTGGCGTTGATGGATTTGTACAGCAGCATGTAGCCGGTGGCTCCGCCCGCCTGGTCCCACCTCACCCTCATGGTGCTGGAGGTCTCGTCGTAAACGTTCATGTTGGTCACTGCTGACAGCCGCACTGAGAGGACAGAGACACTCAGTCAGAGCTGATGATATCAACTCAGTGCTTTCATGTCACATGAAGTATCTGAAGGAGACTGAGAGCAACAATTGGACCAAACGAAATATGTTTTTTTGGTTTGGCAAAGAAAAAAGAATAATGATTCAAACTGTAAACCAGGATGTACCATCTTCAGCACCCTCAGATTAAAGTTCAGACTTGTTTTTAATGCCACTTAAATGAATTTAATATAAGATCAATTTTAGAATAATTAAAATTGAAGGGAAAGTCTTGTAAACATAATGGAGTGAATATAACATTTGTGAGAGTTCCTTAATAATTACTGATTGTGTTGTAGCTCCACAAACTATTTCCTGATGCATCATTATGACGATAGCTGCTTCTACAACAAGGAGGAACTTATTCATAGATAGATTAAATAAATACGATAAAATAGTTTTGAAGGATCTGCAGGAACGCTGAACCCATAAACATGTGTTTTAACAAGAGTGTAGTTTTCAAACAATAAGACGCCTGCAGCCAGCAGCCTTTACAGGCTTCATGGTTGAGTCACACTGACAGACTCCAGACAGAGCTTTACCGAGGACATCATGAGCTTTAAAAGAAATGACAGCAGGTGAAGCCACGGTGATCTAACGGCACTCACACCATTGCATCATGGGACGTTGCGTTTGTCTTTTTTCCGCCTCATATCAGATGCTAAATATATACGAGAACAAATGTGAGCGTGTGAAATAACGAGCAGAGAAATCAGGTTGTTTATCTCAGGAAACAAAACCAAAAAAACGCCGTCAAAGCTCCTCTTTAATCCCGTCTGAGCTCTTCTCTCTTAAGACCAAGAGGAACATATAAAAAGAAGGAAACACTTACAGGTGGTCTCGGTGCCCTTCAGAGGCTCGCTGCTCTCCTCGCCGACCACGGAGTAGACGTTGACCACGTACTCGGTCAGATGGTTCAGGCCCTCCAGCACCGCCGTGTTCACCGAGCCGTCCACCAGCAGCTGAAAGGATAAAGGACGTTTTTACACCGAGGCAGCAGATTTCTCCCTGGGACTCATTTTTGAAAACAGGTAAGAGTTGTGACAAAGTTCTTCTGCGTGATAAATATCAAAATCTGAGGAAGTGGCAGCAGAAGTCTCAGTAACGATCTGTACTAACGTAGAGTCAAAAAAACAACAATAAGCGGGACATTCGTGCTGCCCTACAGACAACAATCCAAACCCAAACATGTCAATCAAGTGTTTTCACACAACTCAGGCACATTTAAAATAATAATCTAAAAGATTTTCATTTGAATAAATGTCATGTACAGTGAGATCTGTGAGTTTTCAATTTTTCAATTGAGTGAGGGAAAAGGTCCTGAAAGACTTTCACGTTCTTTCTTTGTTGCTTTATGAACATAAATAAATACTGATATAACTAATGTGTCTTCTTCTTGGTGGCGTCCGATACTGAAGTGTTCAGCGGTGTGACGAGGTTGATCAAACGTTGTGAAGTTAAGCAAAAACAGAAAACAAACAACGTTTTTTTTCTCGGTAATTTGTGACTTTAATCTTTCATTTGTTTTGTTTTTCTCACAGATCTTTGAGTTTATAACCTCAGAGAAAATGTCTTTCTTGAAATATTATAGTATAATATATTATAATAATACAATATATCATATTACAGTATCATCCTCCTCCACCGGCTCTGTTTTCTATATTTATTTGACCTGCAGTGGTGCTAATACTCCGTCATAAGTAGCTGAAGATGAAGCTGCCAATCGTTTTGTTCTTTCCAATAATACACTTCAGAATGAATCTATTGAAGCTCAGAGAGTTGCTGCCGTCTGAAAGGACTCGTCTGCTGATTATGAAGTGGAAAGATCAAAGCAGCATTAAATGTTCTAACCACCAATCAGCAAACACAAACAGAGACTCTCATCAGACCTTCAGAGCTCAGCCTTTAGAGGATTCATCACTTCGTGTTTCAGAAATCTACTAATGAAGATTGACTTGCAGTGATTAAAGGCTGTTAGAGCCACAATGATCGTGGTGCGTTCATGTGCCGGTGGGAAAGTCGTCATTAAGGAACCTGGCTGGCTGCTGAACTGCATCAAGTTCCTGTTTGGCTGGGAAATCAAACCCAGAGGAGAAACGACGAAGAAGCACAGCGAGGCTGCAGCTCCTCGTCCCTCATATCAGGTTATTCATGTCTGAAACTCATTCAGTTAAATCTGCTTCTAGTTTCTATGAAGTATCATATGAACCGCTGCCTGAGGTAACGTTGAACCAAGATGGAGACCGTTGAGGGTGAGAAGTGTCAAGTGTTCCACACACCGTCCACTTACTCACAGTGCTCTGCTTACTGTCTGTGTGAACGCACTCATGCACTCTCAATAACAAGCGTAAGGATGCAAGAATTCAAATCGAGACACAGCAGAACTCCAGAAACTTGGAAGTGACTCTGGTCTTCACAGCCAAGACTTGAGACCTACAACACACAGACTTTGTCTCACCTCTGAGGTGTAAACTGCTGGTATTTATTGACCTAAAACACGAAAACCACCCACGATATCCATTAACACAAATCTTAAGTTTTACTCACAGTTATCCAGACAACTCCTTAAACACTTATAACAACACAGAAACCCCCCCACTTCAGCTCATTGGGTCTATTAATGCCTCCCTGGTGTATAAATATATCCAACACACATTAATACGCGTTTCCCCTGTTGGCAGCGTGCCATGGCCTCATGCCTGAACCCTCCCTTGTTACCGAGAGTTTAGGAATTCCCTCTCTTATAAATCACTGCCGATAAGACCTTCACCAAACACCCAGCGTGTAAATATAATATATCTCAAGATGCTGAGCTCTGCAGTCCAACGTAAACAGACAAGGAGAAAGAGGAGAGGGAGGCGTCTCAGAGCGCTGTGAGGTCCACGACGGCCCAGTTATAATCTCCCTCTGACGTGGGCCAATAAAACCACCAAAGGATGGGAAAGACCCAGCGCCCTGGGTTTAAAGACACCGACGTGATGGGAGGTTCAGAGTAAACTAAAATGCAGGTTCACAAAAGCAACTGGGTTCCAGGTTTCAGTCCCTGAGGGGGCTTTGAATAAAAAGCCAGACCCAGGTACGTGGAAACTCTTCCAGGAGTGTGAGGGGGTTTCACCATAGGATGACACCTACGAGCATATTAAACAACAGGGGGCAGTTTGAGCATCAATTAGTCTGCTTTTGTGTCACAGACAACCTTTCATTGTCTAACGTCACAGGAAGTAGTGAATCTCAGCTGTGTGGTGGCGGTTCACACTTATAAAAGACAGGAACAAAAGAAATATCTGTTACAGTTTAGGGAAGGTCTAATGAGAGCCAATTAATAAGCAAACAGGATGCTATTTGATATTCAGGGTCGTGTCCAGCGCCAAGAGATGGTAGACGTTATGTTTCCTGGCCAGTGAGAAGCACGCTGAGCAGATTCCTCTGATGAAATACACCAATCATCTGAGTCTTTTGAACATTCAAACCTGGAACAATAGAGTCAAACTGATTCCAGACAACACTGAGAGAAGCATCTCTTTATATCTAAACCAGGTTTAAGACGTGAAGGGGAAAGGAACAGCATCCACAACCCTCGTGACATTTCTGTCTGAATCAAAATGTGCAGAAGCTCTGCAGCAAGTTACATTCACAACATGTTTTTATGCAACGAAATATTCTGCTTCAATCCAATCTTGTTGGCGTTCAGCCTCTGAATGCGTTTGCTGTCACGCAGAGAGGCAGCACCTGTATTAACAGGGCGGTCCAGCAGCAATCTAACAGCACTATGAATTCATTCAGAACAAAATCTACTTTTTCCCCACGACAGACATTTAAAGTTTCACACGAAAACCTCAATATAAGCTTTGAATGTAAAAAAAAGAGACATTTTGTAAGAGGAGGAAGTAGTGAGAGCTCTTCATCTCACCTCCTGGGTGGGCCCCCCGGCCACCATCGTGTAGGTGACGCGGTATGTGTCCACGGGGCCGGCGGGCGCCGTCCAGGTGGCACGGAAGGAGTGGTGGGTCACCTCCGAGGTCACCAGGTCGGTGGGCGCCTCCAGCTCTCCTTCTGGGAAGGAATGAAGAGGGAATGTGAGCCGACACGTCAAAGTACTTCACACCCCTGAACCCTGACGCCACAAATCTGCCGTCGTCATGTTCGCCCCTTTTGGCTCGCTGAATATTTCAGCTAAATAAGATAAATAGGTTTAAGTGTGTGGAGATCTATTCTACCGGTTTGAGCTCTTCTGACTTTAAACGAATGCTTTTCTCCGGCTGTGCTGTAAATCACTTTCTGTATTTTCCTCCCAAAAATGATTTACAGACAAATAGTAGAAAAAAACGTGAAAGTTTCCATCAGATGTTCGGATCCGTGTTGCCACATCTCTTTAATTCTCCGAAATAATCGAGGTTGTTGGACAGAATGGAGTCAAATTCATCCATCTGCGCTGTGATGTTCTGTTAAAGAGTAGAGTTGATTTGTGAATAACTGGACACTTTGTTCTCATCTGAGGATTAAAATGACGGCGTAGAATTTGACCTTTTCAACAACCAATTAGTGTCATCATTCAAACTGGGTCGTAGCAGCTGTGCCGAGGACGAGTAACGTAGCCGATGTTCATGTGTTCACTTGGACTAAAAGGTTTACGTCGTCCTTTATAAGCAGAGCGACGTTCACACCCTCCGGCGTGCTTTCTATTTCTATTCATAGATGTCAGTCTTAAACACTTTGGCGTTCTAAAGTCCGGAGACCACAGGTAACTGAACGGTGTAAATCTGACTCAGCAGGAAGAAGACCTGGTCGATGTAGAATGACTTGTTTAGTTTGAGGGGCCAGCATCTGCAACAGCTTGTGGACGTGTGTGTGCGCCTCCTGACGAGGAAAACACTTGTGTTGAAGGAAGCAGAAGACAAGAGAATGTTGTCACCTCTCTACCTTCATGACGGGGAACTGAAGCTCTTATCTATTCTCTCTCTAAAGAAACCAGACTCATTCACAAAAACAGAGATTGTATCTTGCAGAAGTGAATCTGAATTAAAACACCAAAGTCAAACAATACTAACTAACCGATTGAGGCAGCAGTAGAGCAGCAACCTAAGGTAAAATGATTGTTTGTCTGGTGTCAGCTTCAGTTCCCCGTCATGCATATTGTCATTCATATTCATATTCATGCCCATTAACCCCTCTTACAAAATCACTACTATATTTTTGATTTCAAGCTAAATGGTTGATATTTCTAAAAGGTTGAATTCTGTTTCACAAACATTTGGTCGTTCCTTTGATGAATGAAACTCTACTTTCATTCATCAAAGGAAATAAATATATATAAATGTAGAATAACCAGACAGAGTTCTGCCTTCTGAGATCTTGATCTTTGGTTCTAATCCCCGTGGCAGCAGTGTGATGATGACTCTATATGCCGACGATGTGACTCTGTTCCTACCCGGGCCTTTGACGCTGTTACACAGGTTGATGGTGAGGTCGTCGATGATGTCCACCATGAACTTGAAGTCCTTCACGTTGTACATGTGAATCTCTTCGGGGTCGGAGGCGATCGACCTCAGCTCGTTCTCGTCTGCGTTCTTCACGCCTGAGAGAAAAAACCGAAACGTCAACACGGTTGAAGAAGAAGAAGAAGAAGAAACCCCCCAAAAGACAAGACTAACATGATATAAAGTACTACAATCAAATCTAATCCCATGTACCTCTACACACAAATTATACTCTCAAAGCTCGTCATCAGACCTTTCACTGATCAGCTGATTGGTTTGGCCATTGGTTTCAGTTCACTTCTGTATAATTTGAAAACTTGTAGACATTTTGTATGAATACATTTAAATTCACAGCTTTCTAAAGTAGTAAATGTATCGAAAATATTGAACAAAGTTTGGACTATGTAGTTTAAGAGGATGAATCCTGGAAAACCAGCTGTTATAATGTGTTTTAAACTCTGTCAATATAAAGATGTATGATATTTAAAGTGACGTACCGATGGCGTAGAGCTCGATGTCGTTATCTTTCAGGCTCCTCGACGTGGAGATGATTTCGTCCTGCGACTTTCCGTCAGTGATCAGAATGCCGATCTTTCGGGCGTTGGGACGCATCCCCACGCTGATTTTGAAGTTGTTCTGCATGATGTAGCTCAATGCCAACCCTGTGAGACGGGAACAGTGAGCTTCACCAAACATTCAGCGGCCGATTCACAAAAGGATTTAGCAGCTAAATCTTCACACTACAGAAGGTAACTCTCAGAGCAGCACAAAGGGTGAACTGCACCTTTAAGTTAGTTCATGTTCAGACATTTGGCACAAAATTTGACCCTTTCTATGCAAATGGGTAAAGTGCACTCAGCTGCAGAACTTCTCAGCCGTGTTTGTGTCATATCATTACCCGAACAAATAAAAATTGCAAGTGATGCACAATTCATGGTGATAATTCAGCGACCGCAAACCTTCTTCTCTGTGAATTCATCAGTTCTGTTTTGAATCACAGTGAATCTTTTCTGCCATCAAACAAAACATTCACCTTGATTTCTATTCGTCACACATTCCTCTAATCACAGGAAGTATCATGTTCTAAGTACAATGATAGAAAGAGAAAGCATCGCACTGCGTTCATGGCTGTTTTAAACATACCGGGCATGTTGGCAAGTTTCCGTGAAAATTTCCTTCAGTTTAACTTTCAAATCTCACAAAGTAAATATTTTTTTATTGTCTCACTTTTTGAGCAAAAACAGCTTCAGTGTTCTTCAGCTAAAGCACCCAGAGAAGGGAAGTTGACACGTTACCTGTCATGGTGTTGCCTCCTTTGTACGGCAGGTTGGAGATGGCATCCAGCAGGGACGCCTTGGTCGGGTGGGCGTTCAGGTGCCACTCGGTCTTTGGGTCTCCGCTGTACTGAGCCAGACCTGCAGAGAACACCGAGGACACAGCAACCCTGTCACTTTAGCTTTTATGAAGAAACAATGAAACAGGTTTACCAACAACAACCTGGTTGTAAAACATGCGATCGCCTTAATGAAATGGACTGTACAGTAGAGGTGGTAGTAGCCATCAGACAGCTTTGGGGGTAGAAGTACAGGTCGTAGTGAGAATATTACCAATCTGCACTCTGTCGGGCCCGACGTTGAACACGCTGACCATGCGAGCGATGAAGTTGCGGATGGTCTTGAAGTTGATGCGTCCGATGCTCCAGGAGCCGTCGACCAGCAGCACGATGTCGGCCTTCGCTGTGGTCTTACACTGAAGGTCTGCAGAGAGAGGGGGAGGGGCAGTGAGTTTCTGCTACACAACACAACAGTGTCTGATGTGTTTCACATGAAGAACTAGAGATGTGAACAAAAAGAGGAAACATCAGAGAGAGAATCACAAGTGGAAGACGTTTGTACAGCAGGTTGTTTTTACACAGCGTTACGCAACAACAATAATTCACACGTCGTCAAAGAGATATCGCGAGATGTTTGGACGGTGAATCGGCCCCGTGGTCTTCCAGCAGCAGGACTGAGCCTCTCTGTGATATACGAGGCCGATTGCACATTCCTGCTCCAGGCACCTGTAGGAAACAAACATGGCCGCTCCTCCTCTATCGTTTTTTTCTTTTCTTTTTTCAGCGGATGCCGAGCGTTTTAAAAGCCGGACCCCTGTGTGTGGAATTGAAAACAGGTTAGGAGTAAATCAATTAACAAATATTTTTTTAAAGTTCAGATCTGTCTCAGCTGGCTGCAGGAAACAGATGCTTCAGAGGAACCGTCTGTTTGAGTTATAAACAATTCGCTCATGTGTTCCCCTCCGACGTTCATTAATAAAAACAGGTGTCATAAACACAGGCAGCTTTAAGAGGCAACTAATGCGCCGCAGACGACTGCTGGATCCAGTGTCTCTGAGCAATAAATATCCATCTCAGCTCAACTGTGGGACTTAAATCTACTGGTGTCCAGCTTTTGGTTTCACTCCAGAATCAAAAGTCTGATGTTTTCACTGACAGAGAAGTGTTTTAAAAGAAATGTGATTTAAATATAATCTTGTAGGAGACTAAACGTGCTTCAAGGCTGCAGATGTAGGTATACATGATAATATCAGTATCATCTAACTGCCTCACATTAAAGGGACAGTAGAGATGTTTAGAAGTGTGTGTATGAGGTTCTTCTCCACAGTCAGTGTTCTGAACGTTTCCAATGGCGGCTCACTTGTTCAATCATGTCAAGTCGCTGTTGAGTTTTTCTCACTTTGTTTAAAAGACGAACATTTGAAAAAAAGAAACCGAGCGTTGAACGACGCAGAGAAGCGGCTCTGCCGGACCATATGGACCCGTCAGTCTGGATCAGAGCCTCCACTGAGCAGCCTGCCATGTGAGAGAGCTGCAGTTTTTAAATATACGAGGATCTCTGAGTGGAACCTCGGTGGAACATCCTGGATCTGTTCCTGGCTCGCTGGCAGCCGCCGGTCACCGTGTCTGCTCCCCATTACAGCAGGAACTTCTGCCCGGGGTCAGCGCCTCCTCTGGGTCTCGTGTGAAGCACGACATTTTCCTAACGGCAGAATCCTGAGTTCAAACTTACGAAGACGTACGTTTGTGGCGACGGTTAGAGTCCCGGTGAAACAGAAGTTAAAGCGTCTTTAAAGCTTCTGAACTGTAGATGTAGATCACAGTGAAACAGAATATTTGACAGTTACAAAAGGGATTTAAATCAAATCCTTCGCATTTGATTGGGCCGCTACAAAGTGGGTGGGGCTTAAGCTTTGTTTATACTCGCGCTTGGCAGCGTAGCGTGAGCCTCCGCAGACGGAGCGCTAGCTCTAAACACACGAGGAGGATCTGTTCGTTGGGTTCTTCTCCGAAACACGAGAGGACGAACTAAAGTTTCTAAAGCATCTCAGAAGTAACTGACCTTCTTTTATAATCCCAGACATGTAAACAGTGTTTTTATTAGCTCAGTTAAAAGGTGAAAGGGACACTTTGCTGATTCATGGCTCTGTTAGCTATACGATCCACAAACGTGGTTTTATAAGACCGGTGGGGCCCAAAGTCTCATTTGACTGAAGGATGAGTCATCAAAGAAGAGGAAAGACTGGGTTTTTATGTATTTGTCTTTGAACAACAAATAATTGATTTAACAAAAGCGACACGGGATTAAAACTTGGTTTTTCTTTACGTTTCTTCGGGTCTTTTAAGGTCAGCACATTGGTGGGTGTCGGCTCAAACTGTGCAGCACATAAATGGGTCGGGAACGCGTTAGTGTCGACTCTTCATCACGTGTCTGTTGAATGCTCCAGATCACACTCACAATGAGATACGAGGGAGGTGAGGAAACGCCGAGCCAAGCGGCTCAGGATAATTGCACTAATAACAACCATCTGTGTCGGTTTTCAGCCTGCAATTCCAAAGAGACGGTGATGTTAATGCCCCTCCACAACTAGTAATTCAATGTTTCTGGCAGTAATTTAGGGGGCGGACCACCGCTATCCCGGAAGGACTTGGATCAGACGGCGTCTGGTCTGCAGGCCCCGCTCTCTACGGGCCGCTAACGGAGGTTCTCAGTGTGGGTGGAGTTATCAGCTTTTACCAGAGGGGTCGACAGAAGGCGGCTCGGGGGCGTCCCTGAGGGTGGTCTTCTCCTCTCCTGCCAGAGGCATACTCTCCCCTCCGTCAAACATCCCGGACACGGCGACAGAGTACTTTGTTCCGGCCCTGAAGGACGAAGGACACGACAGGAACTCGCATCAGACTTTCATAATCTCAATAAGAAGACGTTAATGCTAAACTGAGATCATCCTGCTCTTCTTATCTGTCCTTCCTTCCACAGTTTGATTGTTTTCTGTACAATAGCTGATAAAAACCGTCCCCATCATCCTCATTATTTTAGAGATGGTGGACTCATCCCTGCAGCAGACAGAAGCACAGACATGGCTGATTATTATGCAGAACGACTTCTTCATGGTGCAATATGTCTTCCCTACTATGGGGCACGACCCGCCCTCCTCTGCCTCTGATTGGCTTACTCTGACATTCTTATATTGCAGTTAACCAGTCTCACTCCTCATGCTGATAGTGCTAGCTGAAAGCGGAAGCAGAGTACGGCGGGTCACGCCTTCGCCATAGCAGGCAAAACAATCAGTGCAGTTGAATGAAGTCATTCTGCACAATAATTAGTCACGTGCTTCTGTTCGTTGCCGGGAGAATGTGCTGTTTTCAGAGCGATGAGTGTGTTTCAGTGATAACGTGTTTTGAGTAGTTATATTTAGTGTAACATGGATGTTATAATGTAAACACTATTCAGCAAGTTGTAAAACAAATATAAAATAGTTTGAAGAAAATGTACAAGCTCCCGTAACAAGATCTGTTTACGTGATTCTTTCCTCGGGTGCTGTGATAATAACGATAAAGATAATAAGAATACTTTTATTTATTTAGGGCTTGTTACGAAGTGCTTCACGAGACAATAGAAGCAGATAAATGAAGCAACAATAAGGAAAGTAAAACAAGGTGATGAGAACAAATAAATATAAATGTGTGTGAACATGTACATGCAGGTGTCGGCAGGAAATGGCACTGCTACCCGACCCTCCGATGTCTATTGTTTCCCTCTGTGGTGAACTTTTCTAATGCAGGCATGAGATTCTTCAGAATATTTAAACATATAACGGTGATGAACGCTCACCTAAGTTCCTCTAGGACCACTGTGTTGTCGTAGGGCCCGACCAGGAGCTCGCCCAGGTCGATATCATTCCCATCGGGGTGAAAGCTGACTTTGTAGCCCCGGACCTGACCGGGTGCCGGATCCCAGGAGACCCTGAAGCTGGTCTTGGTGGGCTCTGAGGTCTGGAGGTTCCTGGGAGCCTTGAAGGGCGACACTGAAATGGGAAAGAACCCGTGCCAGAACTTCAGGACAAACTTGTGCTGAATGAACATTCAACACAAAAATCAAAGTCACGGCAAGAAAGGTTGTTGAAGATCAGCCACACCACCAGTTTCTCATTAGTCCATAATACAACACCTTGAACCCGGTGTCATTGGTTAAAAAGCCCGGTGTCATCATGCCGTGTGTTAGTAACGGTGGGGATTGTGTTTATTAAGTGTGTGTTCTGGTGAAAAGACGCTGCTGTCGTCCTGTAGTGTGACAAACATTCATCTGAACAAGTGGTTTAAACTTGAAGTCACAGTAAAGAATGTGCAGCCCGGAGGACAGAATCACGCTTGTTTCCAAGGCAGCGAGTCGTTTTGACGTTTGAGTGACAAAACTGTCAAACAAGCCGGTTTGTTTTGCGTCGCTGACGTTCAACAGGAAGCCAGTTGAGACGAAAGACGTTCTCCTGACCTTAGAGGGATGCTTTGATTTACGGAGAATTCAAACACATTTTTCTTCTTATCGTGGATTCAGACAAAGTCTTAAATGTTTTGGTGAGCATTGAGATTGACCTCAGTTACATTCCATGAGTTAGTCTGACTCTCGAGAGCAGGACGAACAGAAGCTTTGCCTAAAAATACAGAGCAAACCCTTGTGCTTCACTGGAGCATTTTTGACTTTTAAAGTTTTGTTAAGGGTGTGATTAAATGTTGTACGTTATAATACGTATCTAATAAACTGTGAAGCCAAAATACAGACACTCAGGTCCTAAAGGACAAAAATGTCCCCACAATGTCTGATCCCACGGCCGTTACAGCACAACACCATGCCTTCTGCTGTTCAAAGCTGTTCATCTGGAGCCCTGGCTTCAAAACTGAGCGTTTTACTATTTTCAACCACATTGAGACATTTTCTCATGTTTGTTTTGCTGTTTTTCTCATGTGATAAACGTGCTGTTCTCCTGGTGTCCACTGGGGGCGTCGCTGCTGCATTACAGAGCACTGCAGTGTTTAATGCAACGTATCAAAGGCAATGTTGTTGCATATCATAGAATGACATATCATAGAATGAAAACAAGTCCCCCGAGCATTAATTATGCAGATAATAATTTAAAAGCTAAGATCACCTCAGCTGCAGATTTCTTTTCTTTCATTTCATTCCATCAATGGTAATGTTTTAAGAGTGAACTTTAAACGTCTTGGTCTAGATGGACATGTCTCTGCGGTGTGCTGTCTGTCAGAGGGTTGAATTATGGACCAACGTACGTGTCGTTCCTACTCCTTGCCTTGCTTTTCCTTCCCCGCGCTTGTAGATGGGGTGAACGGTGATGTTGTAGGTGGTGGTGGGCTGCAGGCGCTTCATGACGGTGGAGGTGGTCGTCCCGGGGACCTTGAGGGCCACTTCTTTCCCTCCACCGATGGGGAAGTACTTCAGCCGGTAGTGGGCCACCTTGCCCGGCGCCGGCGTCCACGAGACTTTCATGCTTCGCTCGGTCTCGTCCGACACGGTCAACTTTTTGGCGGCAGCAGAAGCTGAAAATAAAAAAAATACATTTTCTAATGTAGCAGAGTGCTGCAACTATGGACCGACAGATTTACATTGATATTGCAAATATTCAATAATGTCTTTTAAATCTAATATTTGTATTGTCAGATGTATTTTTGAATGGGCAGAAACTGGATTTGGGAAATATTTCCATGCTTCTTCAAACGTATTTATACTCTATTGGCTCTGCATAGAATTCCAGTGTAGTCAGAGCTGGTATTGATAATACAATTACAATACCAGCTCCCTTAAAGTAATACCGATACTTCATTCGATACCCATCTTGTTTCGAAGCATTGAGTTTTGTAAAATACCACCACCACATTGATTTCTACCAGACACAAAGGCGTGGAGTAGAATCATATTTTCCAACGTTGTGGTGGCATCTCGACACGCTGAACCACCACCTCCATCAAATATACCGCGCTCAACTTCACAACACTACAGACTGGATGGTTCTAGTAAGGCCTCACCCTCCGGTTCTTTAAAGTGAAGCCAAAGCTTCATGTGTTAAAGCTGCATTCTCTCTGGTGTCCACCAGGGGGCGACTCCTCTGGTTGTATAGAAGTCTATGAGAAAATGACTCTACTTCTCTCTTGATTTATTACCTCAGTAAACATTGTAAACATGAGTTTATGGTCTCGATCTCTAGTCTACAGTCTGTGGGTCATCATACGTTGCATTAGATCAAACGCTTGCAGTGATTAGTCATGTATTTCAAGATCTGGGCACAAAAAGGATCAAATAGAGGTATAGTTTGGCAGGAAGAACTTCTATACTACTTGGTAGTATTCACAAATTGGACGATGAATCTTTAAAAACTTCTTTCATCGAACCCATCGATCTGTTAACCTCCATCCACTCTATTCCTTCCAGCATCAAACCTCCATAACAGACCGTACTCTACCAGTGTGTATGTTCCGTATGTGTACGACTCCATCGGGGGCTACTGAACAACCACAAACATTTTGTCATTTTTAAAACCATAATCCCTAAAAACAATCATCTTCTCCTCTCTATGTTCAGGCCAAGTGTGGTTCTCTTTATATCCCTCCAGTAATCGTAATGTTTTCATAAACGCAGAGTAATTCCATCAGCTTCATGCCAAAACTAATTGGTAGTGAGTTCGGCATTCACCCAGAAGTGATCAACTGTGGAGGAAACGCCAACCACATTGTCTGTCCACCCCCCCCCGACACAACCAAAAGCCCATTAAATGAATTTCACATACTCCGATGATTCTGCAAGTGATTAAAACAACTTTGCAAGAGAACAATATGTATATTTAATGATCCCGATGAAAGTGTTCCAGACTGGCTGATTTTTACTGGCGGTAAAAAAAAAGAAACATGGCGTCCAACTTTTCTGTGTGTTGATGGGTTTTGAGTAAATCCGTGAAGCTGGAGGAGAAACATTTGGATCGATGCATCGAGGGAAAACAACACGAGCTAAAGACGCGTCGGTTCATCTGCACGCTGCGTTCGTCGGTTGGCCCGCGTGCGTCAGGTTTCACACGTGTGCATATACGAGGAATGTGTCGACATGTTTAGGGCGAGCTTTGTCTCTGATTCAACACGTCAGTGAGCAGTTCACTCACAGGACACACGTTGATCTCATAGATTTACCCTCACCAGTTGTGTTGTGTCAGAGAGAGGAACACAGCGGAGCTGTCACCACGTTGGGGTTTCACTCACAATTACAGTTTGAAAAGAAACAAAAACAAATATCTTCGTTTAAATTTGGACCCAGAAAGCTGAAAGCGTGTGTGTTCTATCGTGCGAGCTCTGAAATCCATTTTTCTTCTTGCGACAAATGGGAAGTATCGAATATACTTTGGCTCATATTCTTGTGGCGCGCATGCAGAAACTTTAGAAGCAACTGATGTCTGCACCTTCAAGCTGCTCTTTCCTGCAGATGAGCTGCTCTTTATTTTGTTTAATGCTTCTTAATAATCGTGTTTCTTTTGGATTTATACATTTAAATATTTGTGCATGCACTTATTTTATAATTCTATTGGTAACACAATTTTGAAAAGTGCTGCACAGTCTGAGGTGAGATCAGTGGGAATGTTTTGGTCTCCAGAGCTCACTGGGTGTCTGTCGTCTTACCGTTGGTGGTTTGCTGTCCGGCGAGCGGCTCGCCGTCTTTCTGATCGTAGGCGGCGACCACAGAAACCTGGTAGAGCGTCTCTGGACTCAGACCGTCCAGCACGGTGTCGGTCACGTCTCCCGGCACCGTTTTCTCTCTGGTCTCCCCCGAGACCAGCGACCGCCATCGGACCCGATACATCTTCACGTTCCCGGGCGCCGCCGTCCACGACGCTGCGAAGCTGGAGTCGGTCACGTCGCTGGTGACCAGGTCCTCAGGAGGTCCCACCTCTGGAAAAAACACAAGCAAAGGTGTGAATTAATAAGTGCAACACACAGGAAGATATGTGGTTACTGAAGCATTGTTCTTTACATACAAATTCTAATTTAACATTCAGATTCTTTAGGTATTTAGATTTTGATCCAAAGATCTGTATTTCTTAAAGAAACACTCCCACATATCTGTGCACAATAGTGCCACTTCTACAGTGTATAAATCTCTGACGTTCTCTCCAGTATTTGCAATCTTCCTTTTTTAAAACAAAGGAACCTTTTTGCATTTGCTGGCAGATCAGCTTGTTTTCTAACATGGAAACTATTAAAAGTCCATCAAGTGGTCAGAAGAGTTGACCACGGCTATAAAGGGCAGGGAACCGGGGGACACGTGAGATTTAAAAAAAGAAAACACAACATTTCTGAGGATTAATTTTAAGACATCTCTGCTTCATTAGGGAGTACAGAGGATCAGGAGACAGGAGACATGTGTCCACTGAGCCACCGAGAGGATGAAGTCCCTTTATTGTAGTTTATTGGACATCTTTGCTTCATCAAATCTTTGCTTCCCTCTGTTGGTAGAGTGAGATCCAGGATTTAAATGTGTTGTTTATTCGTCTCACACGAATGTCGCCACAGACACCAGTTCGGAACACTGCAAATGCCAGGCCCCATTGAGTCACCTCACGCAGCAATAGATGATTTATTTAAATGAAACTCTTCCAGATCGACTTTAAAGTCAAATTAAAACCAAGCCCGAGACTGAACCCTTGTTGAAGTGATGGAGTGACTAAATGTACCGGGTTATAAAAACACGCTCACGCTGAAGACGGTTCTCACGCAGAAATCAAGAAGATACACGAGAGACAGAACTGAAGCGTCTTCAGAGGTTCAGACTCAACTTCCTGAGGAGCTGCAGCCAGAAACCCTTATAGATCTATTCCCACCCCAGCGGCTCATGTTGCTGGAAGGAGACGTATAGAGGCAGAGCACCAAGCTGGAAATATGTGTGAATGATGGAGGAGGAGGAGGACGAGGATGAGGACGGGGAGGAGGAGGACGAGGAGGACGAGGAGGGGAGGAGGAGGAGGAGGACGAGGACGAGGAGGAGGAGGAGGAGGAGGAACAGGACAGGACAGAACAGGACAACACAAAACAAATGTTTATCCTCGGGACATTTGTTTCTGGTCGGGGTACAAATTAAAGATACTTTTATACTGAAAAAGTACATTTAATACAGTGGAAGAGAAGCTCGCCTGGACGCTGTTGAGTGGAGGTTATTGTTGTTCCTGCCAACTGATACTGGAAATGTCCCTTTGACCATCTTTCTGTAAAACATGTGGCCAGACTGTTGTGGAAATCTCTATTAGTGAATTGAGTAATAAAACAGGTCGACAAGCGTCATGACCAAGACAAAAAGTTTCAGCGCTTCTGATAACAAGTAAAGAGGCTTTTAATTTGACGGGCCGACATGATGAAACCACATTAGATGTGATGTTACTGCTGAACATCCAGTCTGTACTCTGCTTCATGAATCTACATGTATTAGTTTATTTAACATGCAGCGAGCTGCGTGGAGCTGCTGCCAATTTTCTTTTTATCAGCTTCAAGGAGCGCCGTCTCTGCGAGCTGGAAGCGGAGTTGAAAATAACTGCAGCAGACAGATGGCGTGTGGAATATTCTGGCGCTCAGCAGACGACGCCTCAAATGCACCCGGACCTATTTTTCCAGAGTCGGTGACGAGGCAAATGTGAACAAAACCGCAGGAGATTTAATGCACTTGTGAGGACATTTCCACTGCTCTGCATGTCTCCACAATCTATTCATCTATCGCACATCTTTTCTGCTAAACATGTTAAAGTTTTGAGGACAGAATGAAGCAAAGACAGTAGAACCTAAAATGAAAACACTGAGGAAGATAGCGTGGTTAAAATCGAAAACTCCAGAAGAGCAACTTAACAGATGTGTGGCGGCAACTAATCTCAGGAAGTTCAGGGTTAAATTATTGATACTTTTACTCAATTATCATGATAAAAAAAATGTGGTCAAGATTAATTTTAAATGGGGAAGAGATGAGAGGTAAGATAAGTTAAGTGATGATCAGATCACAGCAGCACAGGGACATAAATAATAAGAGGTATCATATAAACTAAAGTAAGAATAGCATAAAAAATAGAAAACTATACGAGAGCATTAAGCATTTTCATTAAACCTTATTTACGTACAGCTCCACCTCTGAGAAACAGAGTCCAACTCAAATCCTTGGACTTCTTCAGCGACATGATTAACGTGCGTGTCATAACAGTTCTTAGATATTTCCTGTGTCGGTCTCTGAGCAGCTGAGCCTCGATGCCACAGGAGGAGACTCCCTGCTGCTGAAGCCTCACAGTCGCAGTGGAAACTCTCTCTCGGCTCATTGCTTTGTATAAACTTGGCAACTCGACATGTTCCATCTACCGTCGGCCGCTTAGAGCACCGCGAGGTGCAGAGACTGACTGCGGTTTTCACACCGGTGGCCCAGACTGAGGGGAGAGAAAAATCACTCCGGCAGTTTTGTTGGTGCAACTCCACACCAGAGGAGAAGTGCTGTCTCGATTAATGAGCAAGGCAGCAATACTGCCAGAGTCAGTCGCTACCAGGTGGCAACCTGCGGTTCTTTAAGTGAAGCCAAAGCTTCATGTGTT